CTGGCCAGGCCCTAATCTGTCATGGGCCCCTGTACCGCCTCCCATTGCTGCTGCCAGGTCCGCTAGTTCAGAGGGCCCCCATACTGCCTGCCTCTGCTGCCCAGGCCCGTAAATCTGGTCATGGGCCCCTGTCGCCACACTCATGCTGCTGCCAGGCCCGTAATCGGTCTCCTACCGCCTCACATGCTGCTGCCAGGTCCAGCGTGTGTCATGGGGTCCCACTTTACGGCCCTCCCATTGCTGCTGTCTCCATCGCCACACTCTGCCATGTGCCACTTTCAGGTCTCCTCACACTGCTGGTGGGTTCCATTTTGTCATAGGGTGCTGTATGGCCTCCCATTGCTGCTGCCAGGCCCTAATCTGTCATGGGCCCCTGTACCGCCTCCTCATGCTGCTGCCAGGTCCAGAGTGTGTCATGGGTCCCTGTACGGCCGTCCCCATTGCTGCTGCCAGGCCCCTAATCTGACATGGGCCCCCGTACCGCCTCCTCATGCTGCTGCCAGGCCCGTAATCTGTCATGGGCCCCCTGTACAGCCTCCTCATGCTGCTGCCAGGCCTGTAATCTGTCATGGGGCCCCTGTACCACCTCCTCATGCTGCTGCCAGGTGCAGAGTGTGTCATGGGTCCCTTTACGGCCTTCCATTGCTGCTGTCTCCATCGCCACACTCTGCCATGTGCCACTTTCAGGTCTCCTCACACTGCTGGTGGGTTCCATTTTGTCATAGGGTGCTGTATGGCCTCCCATTGCTGCTGCCTCCACCGCCACACTGTGGCTCCACACTCTGGTTTTGGCCCCGTGACTGCCCAAATGAGTGAAGTGTGCGGTGATTCTAAGATCGACGGCACTCATCTGCATGTCATACTGACTGACAGTATTATTTCTCTTCCCCAGCAGACTCCAAGGGCATTTAAATTAAAGGTACAGTGTTCTGCACTAATATAAAGGCTCTCTGAAGTCTAGAAACACCCTTTTTATAAGTTAAATTTGCAGCGAATATATTCGACTCGAATCGAATTTATTCCTCGAATTCGCCGAATTGAATTTTTGAATACTTCGCTCATCTCTAGTGGCAATGTCTGAGGGTGATAGACTCGGAAGTGACAGGGGGTCAAAAAAATTATCAAAAGATAACTGTGTGAGGGGCGGGTGAAGGTCTGGGGTCAAACAGTTATAAAGATTCTTATAGTATGAGCCAAAAAGGGATGTCATGACCTGAGGATCATAGGTAGGGCTTCCATTCGCGTTGGATTAAAAGATCAGGCATCGTGGAAGGAGACTGAGCTTTGAGTCGATTGACTAACATACGATGAGGTTTGTTGGAAAATTTGTAAAATTTCTGCTTAAACCCATAGGAGGGATTGCCCAGAAATGGACAGCTTGGCCAACAACCGTCGTTCTGCCAAAGATAGTTGATGAATAAGAGAAGCCCTAGCACTCGCCGAGGACTTTCTAAACGAGAACCCATAGAAGTACAGAGTCCTCGAAATACCCTCCCACAGGGTTGAGGAAGAAGCTACGGAGCCAACATTGTGGGTAAAATAGGTATCAAGTCCCGTGACAGTTCATCCCTAAGATGTTCTTTGGAAAGAATGGTCTCATTAAGCGCCAATGACATGGTTTGGATATAATGGGAGGGAAAAAATGGTTTTAAAGTCAGAGAGGCATGGTCAGACCAGGTAATGGGGTTTATTTCAGAGGAGACCAGGAGAGGAAGCAGTGGGGCAGAGATAAAAAAAAGGGATCTAGGTGGGAGAAGCTACGGTGAGGGTTGGAGTAGAAAGTGAATTGTTTATGGAGGGGGTGTTCAATCCCCCAAGCATCAAAGAGACAATGCTCCCTTATCAGTCTACGGAAAGATTTTGAAGAGGAGCATTGCCACTTTGAGGGTGTGGACTCGAAAAGAACTTTCATGTCTTTATGGGGGGAAAAAAACAAATTAAAATCACCCCCAACAATCACATGCGAAGTGGAAATGGAATCTAAGTTGGCGAGTGTTTGTGAAAGAAATTGCAATTGACCCGAATTTGGGGCGTATAGATTCAACAAAACAAGGGGAGTGTCACCAAGCATACATTCCAAAATAATAAAGCGACCCCGTTGGTCAACTTTGGAGGGAAACAACCCAAAGGGAGCAGTGTGACCTAATCAAAATTGCCCCCAGCCTTTCCGGAAGGATCAAAGGCCGAGTAAGCTTGGGAAAAAAATCTCGAGGCAAAACGAAAGGAGCCAGTTGATTTTAAATGGGTCTCCTGGACAAAAATAATGTCTGCTCCTGAGGATCGAAATTCCCTCAAACCCTTCCAACGTTTTGGAATGGAATTGAGGCCCTTGACGTTATATGACAGAAACCTCAAAGCCATTATGAAATAATAATGGAAAAAGCACATGTATTAGCATGAAAAATGAATAATATACCATCGATGTAAGAGAATGGGAAACAAAGAACATTAAAATAACACAAGAAAGAACAAACACAGTGGTTGACATAAGTATCCGCAAGGATATAAACTTGGGAACAACAATTTGACAAGTCGTCTAGGCCTATGGCTAGACAAAATCGGGAGCAGCACGACAACCAAGACATCAGGAAGATCGTCAAAAACAGCCAGAAAAAACAAAGGTGAAAAAAAAAACCACCCAACAATGGTTCGCCGGCCAAAAATGAAAAACCTGTGGAAAAATCATGTATAAACCAGGAGGGAAGGATCGGCACCGGATTCACATTGGAGAGTCACCCCAGGGAATCATCAGACAGGCGGATCAGTTGACCGAGGATGACATGGACGTTGTGGGGTACGTGAGAGCCTCTTCCGGCCTCTGTGGCCTGGAGTCCAGATCTTGTTGGGGGTGGATGATGGACGGGATGGAGTGGGTGGCAGTGGGGACTCATCATCTGACAAAGGTGGAAGTCCCAGGCTCTTTAAAAAAGAATCCGTCTCATGAAGATCACGGAGCACAACTTGAGTATTGTCCCTAGTTACGATCAGCCTGAAGGGGAACCCCCACCGATAAAGGACACGGTGTTGCTGAAGGTGTGAGGTGATCGGCTTCAGAGCTCGCCGCTTGGCCAGGGTAGTCGCAGAAGAGTTGGAGTCTGTCACCTTTAAATTCCAAAGATGGCTTGTGGCAAACTGCTGATAATAAGGCTTCCTTGCTTTGAAAAAAATGGAAGTGAACTATAACGTCGCGTGGTCTGGTGCCTTCGACAGGTTTTGGGCCCAAAGAGCGGTGAGCCCTGTCCATACACCAATCTGCTTCTGGAACCAAGGGAGCAGTTGCGGTGAAAAAGGACAATAGGTGACGGTGTAGTTGTGTATCAACAATAGATTTGGACATACCGCGTATACGGATATTTTGGCTCCGTTCCCTGTTTTCCAAGTCCTCTTGTTGGAGCTGCATTTGGGACATGGAATGCTTCAGATACGCCTCTTCCAGAACATGAACGTATTGCACCAAATCATCAAACTCATTTTCCAATTTATCCGTGCGGTCTCCAATCTGAGCTATTTCCCCTCTGAGACCCAACGCCAGTTTTCCAATTTCAGTGGATATGGATGCGGTGATATTGCGTAAGAATATTTGCAATTTATCATCTAGTGCTGAAATTGTGAGAGAAGATGATGTGAAGGACGCTCCAAACAGTCCTAGCTGGGCAAAATGTTCCACCGCCCGGGTCCGGTGACTGGCGGGATATCAAAGATTGGCACATCAGGCTGGCCACCGGACGGAGGCACGTCGGGCTGGCCACCGGACGGAGGCACGTCAGGCTGGGCACCGGGCCACCAGGCGGGAGCAGCGGGCACCGGGTCACCAGGCGGAGCAGGGGGCACCGGGCCACCAGGCGGAAGCAGCGGGCACCGGGACACAGGCAGGCGGAGCAGCGGGCCACCAGGCAGAGCAGTGGGCACCGGGCCACCAGGCGGAGCAGCGCGCACCGGGCCATCAGGCGGAGCAGCGGGCACCGAGCCACCTGGCAAGACAGCGGGCACCGAGCCACCTGGCAAGACTGCGGGCACCGAGTCATCTGGCAAGACAGCGGGCACCAAGTCATCTGGCGGAACAGCGGGCATCGGGTCGTCAAGCAAGACAGCGGGCACCGAGTCATCTGGCAAGACAGCGGGCACCGAGTCATCTGGCAAGACTGCGGCACCGAGTCATCTGGCAAGACAGCGGGCACCAAGTCATCTGGCGGAACAGCGGGCATCGGGTCGTCAAGTTTGACAGCGGACACCGAGTCATCTGGCAAGACGCGGGCTCCGAGTCATCTGGCAAGACCGCGGGCTCCGAGTCATCTGGCAAGACCGCGGGCTCCGAGTCATCTGGCAAGACCGCGGGCTCCGAGTCATCTGGCAAGACCGCGGGCTCCGAGTCATCTGGCAAACCGCGGGCTCCGAGTCCGCGGGCTCCGAGTCATCTGGCAAGACCGCGGGCTCCGAGTCATCTGGCAAGACCGCGGGCTCCGAGTCATCTGGCAAGACCGCGGGCTCCGAGTCATCTGGCAAGACCGCGGGCTCCGAGTCATCTGGCAAGACAGCGGGCTCCGGGTCATCAGGCACCGGATCCTCTGGTTCGACAGCGGGCACCGGGTCACCAGGCACGACAGTGGGCTCTGAGTCAACTGGCTCGACAGTGGGCACCGGGTCATCAGGCACCGGATTGTCTGGTTCAACAGCGGGCACCGGGTCACCAGGCACGAGAGTGGGCTCCGAGTCAACCGGCACAACAGCGGGCTCCGAGTCAACCGGCACGACAGCGGGCTCCGAGTCAACCGGCCCAACAGCGGGCACCGGGTCATCAGGCACCGGATCGTCTGGCTCGACAGTGGGCACTGGGTCATCAGGCACCGGATCGTCTGGCTCAACAGCGGGCACCGGGTCACCAGGCACGACAGCGGGCACCGGGTCACCAGACACGACAGCGGGCACCGGGTCACCAGGCATCGGGTCATCTGGCTCGACAGGGGGCATCGGGTCATCAGGCACCGGATCGTCTGGCTCGACAGCGAGCACCGGGTCACCAGGCATCGGGTCATCTGGCTCGACAGTGGGCACCGGGTCATCTGGTATCAGGTTATCTGGCTCGACAGCGGGCACCGGGTCATCTGGCATTGGATCGTCTGGCTCGACAGCGGGTATCGGGTCACCAGGCATCAGGTTATCTGGCTCGACAGCTGGCATCGGGTCACCAGGCATCAAGTCATCTGGCTCGACAGCTGGCATCGGGTCATCTGGCATCAGGTCATCTGGCTCGACAGCGGGCATCGAGTCACCTGGCATGATAGGATCATCAAGCTGGATCAGTTCATCAGACTGGGTTGAGACATCAGGCTGAATTGTGGGCGCCGAGGCACCAGGCTGCACCACGGAAGGCGGGTTCTCAGGTGGCAGGCTGACCGGTTTGGATACTGGCAGGATGGTATTGGTTGGAAAGAATTTTTGCCTTTTCCTGGTTTTAGTTACCGGAGCACTATAAGTAAGCGCAGGTTTGTAAACGGATGGAGCAGCTGAAGACAGAGAAGAGCTGGAGGATGGAACAGAGGAGGGAGCACTTGCTACAGAGGACTTCTTTACAGGGTTAAAGGCAGGATAGGTGCAGCGAGTGGGAGCAGAGGACTGATATGTGGAAGTTAGCAGAGTATACTGGGCCGTCACTGGGGGTGCTGTCGGGAATGCAGGAAGAGTACCTTGAGGAGAGGAATGACGTTGTAAGCTGACTGAGGCTGGGTGCAACAAGTCTGACCATGTCTGCAGTATGGGTTGAACAAAGCTCAGCTTACACAAAGCCTGTCTGGTCAAAGACTGCACTGCGTTTCTACAATCCCTTAATACCTGTTGTGAACATGCAGCATAACGCTCCAAGAAGCAATCCACATTATCCTCTAATAACCATACCAGGGACTCTACCTGGTCTGCACTAAATGGTGGCAAAAAGTCATTCCTGCTTTCAGGGGTACCAGATGAAGCCAACTCTGCACAAACCTGAATCAAAGGTTGCACTTCAGAGAACTCTGTGCCCTGATCTACTAGAACATGAGCGACCCGTATACATTCTAGCAGTTGATCCCGGGGATACTCCTTCAGAGTCTGATAAGCATACTCCCTGTCAACAAAGACCAGCAGTGACAAATACACCACCTCATCAGGATGCATCCTTCCCAGCAACAAGCCAAGATAGCTTCCCTGTGCAGCCACTTCTGGTCAGGATGGCCTTGTTGTAATGTCAGGGATCGGGGTATGACCAGAAGTGTGTGGACTGACACAGGGAAACACAGGCTTCAGATATAGTAAATAATATAATTTATTAAGACTAACAATACAAACACAGTGCAAAACTAAACATAAACACAGTGCAAACAAACTAAACCAAACCTCCCAACAGATAACAAACATACAATACAAGAGTAGTCAGGCAGGCTGGGTCGGTAGCAAACGGGCAAACGGAGTACCAGTAGCAGGCGGGAGAGTGGTCAGGACTAGCCGAGGTCAGTACAGGCAGAGTTCAAGCAGAGTCAGGACAGGAGTAACGGGATCAGGAAACCAGGGCCAAGCAAACAGTACAACAAGGCACTGACTGCAGGTCTGGCCATCCCTTAAATACACCACCTGCAATCCCCAGGTGATGGCTAATTGCCGAAGTGAGTCTCTGGTTGTTGGGAGCACCCGCTGGCCAGCCCTGGTACTGCAGCCCACAAGGCAGGTGAGTCCCACCACTATTGGCAAGTTCATTCCTGACAGTGTGTGGGCAGATTGCGTGCAGATTGTAAAAGTTAACAGATGGGCTGGACGGAGATCTGTGTGTGTGTGGTGTCCCAGCAGACCGTTCTGCGGATAAACTGCTGGGTGGTGGCAGGCTACCTTTTATGGTGTGTCTGGTGCAGGGGGTGTGTGTGGACAGTGGAAGAGTGATTAACACCGGGGTTCAAGATGTAGGATAGCTGGAGGGACTCTAGAAGGGTGTGTAATTACTAAACTGGTCCGCAACTCTAGTCAGTGCACCAGATTGTATATAAGATTTGTATCTGCAAGTGTGTGGTCGACCAGCTGGATTGGAGTGGAGTCTCCCTCTGGTGGTGGCCAAGGTAGTGCGGGCTGTGAAAGTATATCATGGCCGGTTTTTATATATTCAAAGTTGAGTCCCCCTTATTCCCTCTTACCCCAAGTCACGGCCGCATGTGCGCCCCGCGGTTAGCTAGTCGCTCTGGGCGTGGCATGTGGGGGGATCCGTGTCAATCCTGTTTGGTATTCATAGCTGTCCTGTACAATGTTCACTCTTCTGATGTCATCTCAGGGAATCTAATCAGTCTTTCCAATTGGACTACAAAGTATTTCCCAATGCTGTGGGAGGAGGGGAAGTATGAAATAAAAGAGAATTGGGCAGGAATAACACTGTTTCTGTTGATTTCATTCCAGAAAATGAGGCCGTGTCTCCATTGTATAACAGGAATTTAGGAGCCTGGAAGAGCAACAGCCGTTCTTGTGCTTGCAGAGATGTACTACATATGTTTATTTTATTTTTATTTTACCCACTTTAATAGCTCAACTTGTTGGCAGCGGTCCTCTCACCTTTTTGAAAGCCAGCCAACTTGTTCATCATATAAGACTTTCCAGTACGATACATCCCAACAATGGCCACCACAACCACTTCCTGTTTTATCTCGGACAAAATTTTTACTGCTTCAGCATTGACCCGGAGACTTCCATCTTGGAGATTTTCAATCAGACACACTGGAGCCTCCATTCTTATATTCTACCTAAAAATAAAAAGACATGTTAACCACTTAAGTTCTGAAAGGTTTTACCCCTTCATGACCAGGGCATTTTTTGCTATTTAGCACTGTGCTACTTTAACTGGTAATTGCACGGTCATGCAACACTGTACCCAAATTAAATGCATATTTTTTTCACACAAACAGAGCTTTCTTTTGGTGGTATTTTATCACCTCTGGGTTTTTTTTATTATTTATTATATAAACTAAAAAAAATTAAAAGTAAGTTTATTTTTTTTACTTTCAAATTTCTTCATAAATTTAAAGTGATTATAAAGGCTGAAAAAATATATATATAATGGCGCCTATGGAAAAAGGAAAAAAAATCTATATATATATATCTATAAATCACTTATTATAATATACCAGCTGCAAAAAAATCACCATAAATCAATAAGGTGTAATAAATAACACAAAAAAATTATTTTGCGCTAGTAGATATAAAATTATCTCAATAAATCAAACATATAAATGGTGCAAAAAAAAAGTATATATGTGAAAAAATGTCCACACTTTAAAAAATATAACACAAAAAACTAGCAAAAAAAAAAAAAATATATATATATATATAAAGTGACAATGCCACCACCAAAAATAAATAAACTCACCAGAGCTAAAAATATAATATTTAAACCATGTATTGCTCTGGGAACAGTAGTATTAATGATAAGTCATTCATAGATGCATCTTCAAGGAATAGTATTCTGCAGAACCCAGATCCACATAGACCAATTTCAGATGGAGCAAGTTACTTTCAAATTATTTATCATCAAGGAAATCCACTTCTCAAGAAAGCCACCTTCAAACGTATCCAAAGAGGGAAATGCCAGACACTCGGAAGAAACAGAAGAGCTTCATGGTGCAGTATTATTAAAACAACATCTTTATTCAGTACTCATTGTACTTAACTCAAAGGGTGTCCCAGCCGACACCAGCATTAACAGCAATCACAGCAAAACAGACCCAGCTACTCGGCACATGCGCAGTAGCTCATTGGAAACGTAATGACGTCACATCGATCAAGCTCCGCCCTACGCGTTTCGTCATCGACGTCCTCACGGAGCGGATGGATGTGAGACGTCGCAACCTCATTAATATACACTGCACAGGGAACGATCAGCTGGCATCAATGAAAATCAGGCAGGCAAGCCGCTACAATGATGGCAGATGTCCGCAAATGATACACAAATGTTACACAAGTATATAAAATCTTTACAACATCAAGAAAGGAAAAAATATGTATATAGATCTACATCGAGGGAAATTAGTAATTAAATAACAAAATAAATATAAATAAATAATTAACCTTTAAACCCAATCTCAAATTCCCATCAAAATAATTGAAAGGTCCAGTCTACATTAAATTAAGGAGGAACTCTAATAATAAAACAAAACAACATAAAAAATAAAAAATTAAAATCAGAAAAAAAAATAAAAATTAAAATCATAAAAAATGTCATAAAAATATCACAATTAATAAACAAATATACAGAAATTAAAAATTTGTGAGAAAACAGTTCAAATCAATATCAACGTTTAACCCATAAGGCTGCAAAGAATTTAACTCATAAATCCAAAACGTCTCTTTTTTGGATATTTCATTAACCAAATCCGAGCCCCTCCAATGGGGTTTCACCATCTCAATTCCATAAAAGGTAAGTAGGCTCGGATCACAGTTATGTACTAATTTAAAGTGTTTTGATACACTATGTTTGTCGAATCCTTTTTTTATATTTCTTATATGTTCACCTATTCTTGTTTTTAAACATCTTCCAGTTCTTCCAATATATCTAAAGTGACACGGACACTCCAAAGCATAAATCACATGTGTAGAATTACATGTAATCAAAGAGTTAATCTTATATTCTTTCTCAGAAAGAAAAGAACAAAATGACTTCCTCTTTTTGTTATTAATATCCTTTACAGTCCTACATACTTTACACTTCCTACAAGGAAAAAAAACCTTTTAGATTTGAAAACAAGTCGATCTTTCTCGGGGGGTTCGATAACATTGTGGGCTAATCTCGTCCTTAAAGACCTATTCTTTCTGTAAATAAATTTCGGTGTCTTAGATAAAAATTTATTCAGTATATCATCTTTTAATAAAATGGGCCAATATTTTTTTTTTTGAAAATTCGTTCAACATTCTTATATTGCATATTATAATTGGTGATAAAGGGTACATTATTTTCAAATCCCAAATGTGTCTTTCTATTTCTAAGAAGCATCTCTCTATCTCTTTTATTTATCGAATTTCTTTCCTTAACCAAAAAACTCCTATCATACCCTTTCTCTATAAATCTTTCAATTAACAACTCAGTTTGATCAAAGAAATCTTTATTATTACTACAATTTCTCTTTATTCTAGTAAATTGACCCCTTGGGGTACTATATAGCCAATTAGGGTGATGTCCACTAGATGTAGGTATGTAAACTATTTTTATCTACTTCTTTGAAAAATAAGTTTTGGTAAGAATTTGACCATTATCTTTTTTTTTTTATTCCATAAAAGTTTATTTAGAAGTGACAACATGTTACAGGAAAATATAAAGAAATGCACATA